TTCCATTTTACCACCAGCAAAAAATATTTCAGGGAAAGCTTACTTACATATTACTTTCATCATGGCTTAAATTTATGTTTTCTTTTTTTAAAACCTAAATATACAAACATTATATTTTAATGCTTTTCTAGATGCCATTTCATTTATAATTATTTAATAGGGAAAATAATAAATGAATTTCAGATTAAAAAAACCCATTGCCGTTGAGTCGATTCTGACATAGAGACCCTATAGGACAGAGTAGAACTGCCTCATATGGTTTCCAAGGAGCGTCTGGTGGATTTGAACTGCCGAGCTTTTGGTTAGCAGTTGTAGCTCTTAACCACTACACCATCAGGGTTTCCAGTCCATTGTATTTTATAACTAAACTTCCCTTATTTTTCATACATACACATGCATGCACATGCACACATACACATAAATATTTTATTTTTATATCTTCAGTAAATTTTTAACAGAACCATGAGCCTATTTCTGTTGGTAATATCCTTAAAAAAGTAATGTGCTATTTGGATATGGAAATAGAAATAGAACCAGTATCACAAAAGTAGGACCATGGGGTTAATAAGTCAAAAGAACAACAATAATAATAACATTTAAAAAAAATTGTTCAGGTGGTCCTAAATAAGTAAAAGTTGAGTTGGCATAAACAAGTAAATTATAGTAAATTAGTAGTAAAATGCACCCAATGTTTAAGAATAGTCGATTGGAGAACTGAGTGAATTAGAAAAAATTCTGTTCTTCATTCTCCTTGAGAAATTGTAGATCATCCACTTAATCAGCTTTTTGTGAAATTACATCAAACTGCACCCCACTGGAATCTGTTCTGTCCATTTCTCATGCCAGATTACCTGCCTACACAAGCAAATAACACACACCAAATCACACATATACACACCAGCATGCCAGTCTCTGTCAATACCACCATCAGCCCTAGCACAGTAAATAGCCAGTTATGAAAACAAGCCAAACTCACCATTTGGTGCTTTCAAGACAGAAGAAGTTGAGGGTTAAAATAGTATGTCTTCTTGACTGTTTGAGGATGGGGTGTATCTACTTTAGCTTGATTAGTGGTAACAGTGTAGAGATTTTGTACTCAAAACACTGTGTTGGTTGGAACTCAGCAAAGCAACCTCAGCTTGTTGCAAACTTGCAAATCCCGCAGTGTTCAATGGCGAAAATGCCCACATTACATGTTTTACTTCAGTTGAACTGATCACTTTTTGCTAGCGAGCAGGAAATTTGCATGGTTCCAATTATTAATAAATGTAGTATGATCTTAGCACCAGCATACTGAGCACAGTGAGAAACTAACAATCACAATTACTAGGCTCAGAGGAGAGACCATGTGGTGTGATATTTCATGGCTTTAAAAATGAAAATGCTTCATGGATTAAGGATAGTTCTAATGGTTTTGGGGACATTCCCAAAAAATTAATTTACAGTTCACATTTTAAAATTAAAAAAAAAAATCTACAAAGCAAAATAACTCCATGTTCCCCCTGCAATTCTAATAATTTTACATTAAATTCAAGAAAAAGAAATATGTGTTCACCTTTAAGAACCAAGCAAGATAGCAAAATAACAGACACCAAAGGGAAAAAAAATAATAATAACAGGTTATTGCAGAAGAAAGTTGTATCTGTTAACTTCCTCTAAAGCCAACATTGGACTATGGGAGTATTCAGGATCTTAATTCACCATTACTAGCAAATTCAGTATCTAGACTAGATATGTTAATGTTTATTTTTACATAGCAGAATAAGCCACATGCTAAGTATTTTGTATGTTTTATGCCTTGATTACCTGTAAATTTACAATCGTGTAAGATAGTGGCATGCTGAGTTCAGAACAAGTGAAACAATAAAAATAATTTTTAAAATCAGATTTTATATCTATTTTATACTACTAACTTTGTCATCGTGTGTTTTTGTTTTTTGATGTAAAATGGAAGTCACTGTGACCTCCTGTAAGTAGTTGTATATGTAGCTTTAAAATTCTCTTCACTTTTATCTTGGAGCTCTGAGAAATACAGAACAGGGAAATGAGTGAAAAATGCAAGCAGAGTAGGTTTTAAAGTGATTTTACGATAAGAAGGCCAGCGTAGCTTTAGAAAACCATGCCAGATTTTTTGGGCTATGACTTGGTTTTCATTTGCTTTGGTTTTATAAGAAGATATGAAAAGAACTAAATACAGTCCTCATTGCAACATTGATACAGTTTATTGGTACAATTTATTGGGTAATTACGTTAACTTATTATTGACTTGTAGTGAAACAGACTTCTGTAGGCAAGAAGGTCAGGCTGGAGACATAAATATAGTGTCACTTATTTAAATCAGTATTTGAGGCTTTGTCTACAATTATACAAAGTGGTGTTAACAAATAGAATATCCTATAGAACTGTTGTGAAGACTGAAGTAATGAATTTGAAAAGGCTTTGCGAAATGTAAAATGCCATGCGCCAGTTGTCGCCCTTAACAATTTTTGACTCGTTCTTTTTGTAGTGACAAAATTATTTTCTGAGATAGTATGAATTGATCTCTGTAGAGGAGTTAACTATATATTTAGGATAAAATAGCATAATATTTTATAAATTGCCACAAAATGTCACAGCCTGATTTGCATTCTTACTGATCCTATACATTAATCACTGACTAACCTTCAGTTTTCCAAATAAAGAATAAAGGGAGCAGTCATGACATTTGTAATCATCCAAGGAAAGGGAATTATTTAAATTCATGACAGGTGGCTAGATATCAAGGGTAAATCATTATATCCACATTTCTAATTGTAAGAAGCTTTGAGGGTGTTTGTGGATAGTGAGGAGCAAACATTGGTTTGCCTATAGAATTCATCATAAACTTTCCATACCCCAATCCCAAACTCTGCAGATGAGTGTGGAGGAGTACATTGGCTTTCCAGGAACTATTTGCTAGAGGTTAGGAAATGCAGTATACAAACTGAGTTTATTGGACCAACTAGGATAGTGACCTTTCAAAGAGGACACATTAGATTTTTTTTTCCTACAAACATTTATATATACATTGTTATGTGGCCCTAATTGCTCTCCGCATACGGTGATAGCACACTCCTCCCTTTTCACCCCTTATTCCCCATGTCCATTCAACCAGCTCCTAACCCTCTCTGCCTTCCCATCTCACCTTTGGACAGAAGCTGCCCATTTAGGAGAACACATTCGGTTTTATAAGTCTCAGAATTTAGTGTGGCTTAGACTTAAAAAGGAATGGCATGTGACATATATTCCTAGTTCTAGCTTCACATCAGTTTACTTCATTATTTCTAAACAAGCTGCATAACTCATTTCTTCCATAACCCATTGCCATTGAGTTGATTCCGACTCATAGCGACTCTACAGGACAGAGTAGAACTGCCCCATAGAGTTTCCAAAGCGCTGCCAGTGGATTTGAACTGCTGACCTTTTGATTAGCAGCCATAGCTCTTAACCAGTGCTCCACCAGGGCTCCCATTCCTTCTCCAGTAAACATAATTCCACACAATATTCTCTGTAAACTAGCTCTGAGAATAAATGTGGTCAATGTTTGAGATTTTTAGTAGATGTTAAAGATATCTGAATGCTTGCAACAGTCATCTTTAATGTTGCTTTAAAATAGTTTCAAGGGTTGGAACATGTTCAGTGGGAAACATACAAGAAAATCTGGTGCCAAATGCTCTTTGAACTTTGAGATAAGTAACATATGAAAGTACTCACTATGAATAACATACATAAGACTATAGAGGCTACAATAGCATAGTCTATTCTGGCTACCAAATCTAAATGCTCTTTTCCGAAATTCAAATTGAAAAAAAAAAAAAAAAACTCTTCCTTAAAATACACTTTTGTAATTTAAAATATACAATTTTTAAAAAATTTTTCTCCCATTTGTTTTGTATTTCAAAATTAATGCATTCTTATTAACCCCTGGGTTTATACTGATAATTGTAAAAACGCAAGTGACTGATAAACCCACTAGTCATAATTGAAAATACTACTTGTCATATTCAAAATTAATTATACTGGGATTTTTTCTATGTTTCTTATAATTTCTTTTTGAAATTTAGTTTGGAAAAGCAGATGGAAACTATTATTTAATACCAGATAAACACCACCATTAGTGAAAAAAATCAGTCTTGTTTTTAAAAAACCCGGTGGTACGAACGGTTAACATATTCGGCTGCTAACCAAAAAGTGCGAGGTTCAAGTCCACCCAGAGATGCCTTGGAAGAAAGGCGTGGTGAGCTACTTCTAAAAAATCAGCCACTGAAAATCCTGTGGTGTACGGTTCTCCTCTGACACACGTGGGGTCATATAAGTCAAATTGACTTGAGGGCAACTGGTTTGTCTTTTCTTCTTTTTTTGTAATTCATTTTTGTCCCTTTTGTTTAGGACTATAGTAGTGAAATAAGCATATGCTTTACGTCATATAACTTGGTTTTCTCAGGCTACAGCTTTCTCTTCTATAGGGGGTGGTAGATGATACAGGCATAAAAGGAATGATGTCTATGGACTCCCACATTACCTGCAGTTATGGGAGACATCCCTAGAACTGTTCCTCCCTCTGCTGAACAAAATATGCCGATAGCTAAGAGATCGGGGGACTAGTTTTCTATCTCATGCCTGTCTTAGGTGAGATGGAAAATTAATTCTGCTACTGAGGAAGGCTGAAAGTTGTCACAATGTACAAAAGATCTCAGACACAGCATATCATTTGTCCTCTACCATTATGCAGCAGGAACCGACGATGTTCAGAATGTCTCTCCCTAACATCTGCTTTGTTATTAATTCATTTTTGCTTGCATCTTTAATTTGAGGAGACAGCCTCCTTCTGAGGCTATGGATGCCATCTCCTTAAGTAACTAAACTTTGTCACTTGGGGGACGTTTCTTCTCTGCAGCTGTAGTGTGCAGAGTCTCAGCCTTGTGCTTACAGCTGACAATCCTCAATACAGTGCCCTAATGTCCCCTCTCTCTGTTTTCCAGCTGGCGCTACATACATCTTTGGGAAAAGCGGAGGCCTCATCCTCTACACCTGGCCGGCCAATGACAGGCCGAGCACGCGCTCGGACCGCCTTGCTGTGGGCTTCAGCACCACTGTGAAGGATGGCATCTTGGTGCGAATTGACAGTGCCCCAGGCCTTGGCGACTTTCTCCAGCTTCACATAGTGAGTACCAGGCCTTGGCCTGCATTCTCTTGCCTTCCTGGTGGTCTGAATTAGTGAGCCAGATAAATGTAGCAGAACATTCTGGATAGGCACAGCAACTGTGTAAGTGCTTATAAAAATCACCTAAGTGAGTTGGAGCCTTCTCTATGTGTGTTAATCCCGAATCTCCCCTTCAGATGCGACCCTAATAGCTCAATGAGTGCCTCAGGAAGAAAAAATAAAAGCTCTTCTTTCTGCCCTCTGTATGCAAAGAGGAAAGGAAAGCCTTCTCTTCTAAACTCCTTTCCCAAAACTGTGTAGCTTAGCTGCTGGCAAAACATTTAACTGACCATTTAGGTGTAAATAAGAGATTTACCTGGTGTGGTTCATCTTAACCTAGTGCAAGCAGCAAAACCAGCTTGAATATTAATGAATTCCTAGGCTGAGGGTCTGCAGACTTTTTCTCTAAAGGGCCAGATAGCAAATACTTGGGGCTTTGTGGCTCATATGGTCTCTGTTGCAACTACTCAACTCTGCCCTTATAAGATGAAAGCATTTAAAGAGGTGAAATATATATATTTTTTAAAAAGTGTAATTGTATGCCAATAAAACTTTATTTACAAAAACAGGCTACAGGCTGTACTTTGCCCATCCCTGTCCTAGACTACAAATTTCATTGCATAGATGTAAAGATCGTGTAATGAAAATTGAGATTAGGGTGGGCAGGGCAAGAAAATTCAAAGGTAGTTCAATGACGAAGAGTTGTAGTAATCTTGTTGTATTGTGTATCCAATATTATACTTCATGTACTGCACATATAAGCCCAATAGGACTTTACCTTCATTGACTACAGATCATAAGAATACAGTGCAATTCTAGGAAATTAAAATGATTTGGAGGAAAAAAATCACTTCATTATGAGGCTAGAAAATATTTTTATAGCAACAATTAACCCATTTTATCACCTGTGCAGTCTGCGGGAAAGAAAGTAGGCTAAAGAAGGATATGATTCTCATTCATAAGTACGCAAAGTGCAGCCACCAAGAGCAAAGAGAGAAATTGTTCTCGTTAGTTAGCAACGACGAGGCTAGAAAGAATGGATTTAATTTGGAGCGATAAGAATTCAGTTTAAATAGCAAGGGGAGAAAGCAGTTAAGAAAAAAGATCAGCTGGGGATTACCACCAACCTCCAAAAAGGAAGAAAAGGGACATTTAGAGGGAATCTTTGAATCTGAATTTGCTAATGTGTATGTCTACCAAGGGAAGCAGAGGGTAAGATTGAATTTCTGGCCTCCGGAGCTGGAGGTGGCTGGCTAGAACCAAAAGCAGCAAATTAAGAAGCCTCCACCCCCTCTCCCCAGCAGTTCCCATCTCCAGCACCTGCTCTTCCAGCATGCTTGCAAACAGGAACAGCTTGAAGCACAAGGCTTGAGTTGGAAGCCTGTCTGACCTCAATGTAAGCCAAAGAAGGGCAAGACTCTGCTTAGAAGGTCAGGGAAAGATGCTTCAAAGTGTGGAAGCAGGGTCATGAATAGAGTTGTGAACCTTTAAGTCTTTCCCAGGTGCTTCAGGAACCATATGGTACTATGAACTTGAACTTAAGCGTTGTAAAACCATGCTAAGGAGCAAAAAGAAAGGCAGCCATAGTCCATGCAGTTTATCTTTATTTGGCCTCTAAGAACCACCATAATTTACAAAACTCTGAGATTTATACTGCGTGTAACTTAATGACTATTTCATGGCAGCTATAACTAGGCTATTATTACCAGCTCACTTGCATTTTCCTGGTTATTTATCTTCTTTTTTTGTTCAGTGTGACTTACTAAGAAAAATATAATTTGACGCAGCTATGAGCATCTTTCTGAGTCAGATAATGTGCTACCAGATTCTCCATTTTTTCTTACTGGTGCTTTGCAGAGCATCTCCTTTTTTAATAGGGAAGTTTTCTTATTTTCTGACAGGTTACTTGAATTGACAGTCTTTTTGCAAAATTGATATGAGGTTACAAGACACTTGTAGGAGGAACCAGAACATTCCAGTATATTGTATTACGCCATTGTAAAGTTCTGCCAATTGTTTGCTATGTTTGGAAATGAATGCATCAAAACATGTTTTCGGGTTCAAACAATCTGCATTTGCTTAATTAGTGTGTGTGCTCTATATAAACATACACATTAGGCTTGAACGTAGTATAGTGTTACTTTCTTTTTAAAAGTAAAAATAATGGAAATTTTACATCAAAATATGTTGTAACAATGGCGTGGAGGTGGTGTCTGACCTCCTCCAACCCCCCAAGGGGGAAGAGACCCAAGATCAACAGCACAAGGCTGACTCCCATGAGGTGGAGGCCAGACAAGCCTCCTCTTTCCACTATCTTTGCTAATTCTGACACCAATCGTCCCTCGTACAGTACTTTTTACTGGGTTCAATAATTCATTGCAATGGCTACAGAGAACTCACAGACCAAACTCATGACTGGGGTTTCATTAGGGAAGTAACAGTTACAATTCAGGCTCAGGAACACTCAGGATACAGTTCTTCCATCAGGACATCCTCTTCCAGTCATGCTCACAGGCACACCTCTCCCTGGCCCTAGGCCTTTCCCCAAAGGCACTCACTCAGCTTTCTCTCTAGGTGGGCCAGAAAGCCCACCACGCCATCTCCTGCTGCCGGGTCTGTGCTGCCAGGTCTCTTCTGCCACTGCTTCTCACTGACTTCAGGGTCACAGCTTGCTCTCTCTCTCTTTCGGTCTCCTGCCTCCAGGAGCTTCTCAGCACAGGAATCCCGGGTCCAAAGGACGGGCTCTATGCTCCTGGATGTTCTTCCTTGGTGGGGGTAGGCTCCTCCTCTCTGCTCTGGAATTAGCTCTCTTTTAAGGCAAATCTGACCTATCCCCTTGGTAGTCACAATTACTCTATCATACTATCACCTGGGTGGGAGTTATAAGACCCTGGCCAGAAAGGCTACACACAAAAGTAATTAATCACACCACAATGTAGAGCCCCCTTGGGGCACTAGGTGCCTATTCTAGTGATGTTGCCATTGCTTTAACAATCTGGGAACTCTCAAGAGGTTGTCCTTAAGTGTTGGAGTCAGGAAAGGATGCCATCTGATCTTTTTAGGGGAAAGAGAAAGAGAAGGAAACTCACCATTCTGGCATGATCCTGACATGTCCATGGCCCTGTGAGCATGGGGCCACGTCATTGGTCTAGAAATTTGAAACCATTTTTTCCCTCCCTAATGGATTATCACTGGTGTCTACACTGAGAGGAGGGTAGAAAGCAGGCAGATTCCTTACCGTACTCGGAAGCAAAGGAATGCTAGTAAGAAGGCCGAAAGACTTGATGACAAAACCAGCCTCCTTTTTTTTTTAATTTTTATTTTTTATATTTAAGTAGATACTTCAGGAAAACAAAGCCATGAATATTTCTTAAAATACCTTTATAAGATATTTACAATCTGTAAAATGGTTTTCCTTCTTCAATGGCATTTACTTCTGTGCACTACAGAAAATGACTTAAAAAGAAAAGAGTTTAAGGGTCATTAATGAAAGTGGAAGGGGATAGGTGAGAGGCAAAAGATTTCATTCCACCTTGCAGTTCACCTAGAAGAGAAACCCACTGGGGGGAAAAATAAAAAGTGATGGCAGACGTGAAGAGGAGATGAAAGCAGCCTAAATCCCAGGCACAGAAAAGAAAGGAAGAGGGCAAGGATCTGCCTGCAGGTGTGCTCCACCCAGAGATTACATATCCCCAAAGCTTCATTCTTTGACAATGGATGTTAATTTTGGAAACAACAAAATGTACTTTGGTGTTACTTCTGATTGGTGGTTGTCTTAGCTATCTAGCGCTGCTGTAACAGAAATACCACAAGTGAATGTCTTTAACAAAGAGAAATTAATCTCTCACAGTCTAGTAGGCTAGAAGGCCAAAATCAGGGCACCAGCTCCAGGGGAAGGCTCTCTCTCTCTGTCGGTTCTGGAGGAAGGTGCTTGTTGTCAGTCTTCCCTTGGTCTGGGAGCATCTCAGCACAGGACGCCCAGGTCCAAGGATACGCTCTGCTCCCGCTGCTGCTTTCTTGGTGGTATGAGGTCCCCCTGTCTGTCTACTTGCTCCTCTCTTTTATATCTCAAAAGAATTAGCCCAAGACACAATCCAATCCTGCCGATCTCTTCAACATAACTGCGGCTAATCCATCTCATTAACATCATAGTGATTGGATTTACAACACATAGGAAAATCACATCAGATGACAAAGCGGTGGACAATCACACAATACCGGGAATCATCCCCCAACTAGGTTGACACATTTTTTTGGGGTACACAATTCAATCTATGACAGTGGTCAAGCTAATGAAGTTGGTCAAAAACAAAATATAATCTCTAAAATTAGCCTTTGATGTGTGTGTTTGTGTGTGTGTGTGCACATGTGTGAGAGAGAGAGGTTGAGAGAGAGAAGGAAGATAAATTTGTTTTTTATAAACTGATGCTGAAAGCAATTTTTAGGAATTCCTGAAGTGTTTTGAGCAGCTTTGTTTGCCCCCAAGATAGTGTCTTTGAAGAGAGGAAAATGTTCTTCCAAGAACACTGACAGCCTGACTCTGATGTGAAGACACACAGCCTCTAGAATAGACCTTCTGCCATGGAGCCCCCAGAGCAGAAATGACAGATAGGCTTCCTCATGCCTGCCAGCTCTCCCTGCCTGGTAGTGTCAGCTTCAAGCTTTCCATTGGAAATATTTGTGAGGAGAGCAGGTAGGAGTTCTGGCTTCCACTAGTCATGTCTGTCACCTGCGCAGAAGCAGACTTTGTGGACACATGCTGTACACTTATTACTCCTGCTCTAGGATACATACCATCCTCCCCACATGCTTGAACTTTCCCATTTCTCTTCCTTTGTCACGCTTAAATTTCCACATTTAAAATCTCTTTAGGAAAATAGACTATCTTCTAAAACTCATATTCCACTGGATGCCTTTGAATCATGTACTAGTTACTTTAAAGTAGTCAGACCTAAGATCAG